AAAATTCTTAAACATCTGAGTCACTGCAATCATTATCTCAACAAAAGCATCAGCATTCATTTAAAAAAAAAGCATCAGTATTCAGTGTAACATTATACGGTATATCAAATTCTACATTATTCTACATTATCACATCTTCCTCCTAATCATTCATAATTTTGAAATAACAACAAATTAATTTAATTAGACTTGGCTAAATTTTAATTTTTATTATTTATAACTTAATTCAATCATTGAGCATCATTTTGTTTAATCTAAACATTGGCTTTGATATCACATTTCTTGCGACTCAGCACGAGGCTTGAAATTAACTAAGAAGATAACGGTCGGACACTGAAATTAAACTTTCTATAACTAACAATTTAATATCCAAATTAACCTGAAAAGACACTAAAGAAAACAATTTAACCAACAAATAAAATTTTTACCTTTTAGGTTGTTGAGCTCACATTTTGCACATAAAATCTCTCCTAGAAGTCATCTTATTCAAAAGTTTGAACTTTAAAAAATATTAAAATAAGAGATGAGTTATCTAAAATAACCCAATGGAACAATCACACAACTAAACTATAATAACTTAAAAATTTTAATAATATGCATGTTGATTTTTACTACTTAATTTTAGAAAATCATATAAAAATTTATAATAGATACATACTTGATATTTGCTAATCGAAAAAATCTAGAATTTCTACATGTGTTCTTTTTTATATTACTTTTCAATGTGTAAGCCTTTAAGCTTTAGTATGCTTCATATTCTTAACTTTTATATCATTCTTCAGAGCACCGTTAAACATAATCTAATACACCCTTGACTGATATTATATCATCGTTATAATGGTCCATGGTCTAAATTATACAATTGTATGAGGTGGAAAGGTGTTTACTTGCCCCTGGCCGATACTATCTCGTCCACCAAGCTGGCAATGATCTAAATATCACAATTGTTTAGAGTAGTAAAAAAAACTCTAAATGCGCAAGTACAATGGCATCTAATATTTGTATCATAAAGGGGTAAACTCCTCTTAGAATACACATACAAGCATTCATATACACACTACTTCATTTTTCATATCATATATTATTTTCTTATGAAACACTTTACCTTTAATTACCTGATGAATAAATGCAATCTTACTAAATCTATAGGTCAAGCAAAAAAACTATTATGTGCTCCTATATTGTAATGCACATACCATGTAATCCTATAAAATCTTCTTAAGAAAAATATAATGCAACTATTTACAAAGCAGAATAATATAAAGAAACAATTATAATCTGCCTCAATGATGTATAACATAAAGTGTGCAAAATTGAAATCATAATACATTTACAAATAAAAAAATTCTACTGTAATTTAGACACATAATTACTTGTCTCGAAATTATTTAATGATCCTTGAAGGCACTTAATCTTTGATTTTCTCCTCCGGTTAGTGTTTATAAAGGGAAAAAAACATAAGGTTAATTTTATCATCTCTCTTAATCATCCTACTTCTATAATTAGTCTCAAAATCCTAAAGTGTTTCTTCATTACACATTATTTTAAGCATTGGCATATCCTCTAATTAAAAAACATACAAGTAGAACTTACCTCGATCTCTCATTTGTTTTCGTGCAATATCATAGATCCCTCCACCTTCTAACCCAATGACTTCAACTTGCTAAAATCTGATATCATTCAATAAAACTTACTATTCATAATTATCAATATCAATTTAGCAATCACTTTTAATTTTAATAGGAAACCTAAATATGATTTATATTGCTAAATCTTCTCATTTTTTAATTCGAATACTCTCCACCTCACATTTCTACATTAATATAAAACTTATTTTATACATTTATTTGACTATAATGAACCTTCAATTAAATAATCACCTTTAATGATGTTGGAACTTCTTATCACTTCAATTTGAATAATCCTCTATCAAAATTTTCAAATTAAATAAAACTTAATATGAACATTTAATAAATTTCAATAATTAATCAATCTAAATAAAATATAATAGATTAAAACCCAAACGGTTTTTTTCCTTGAAAGCTTGGTTTGGTTGCCTTCTACGCAATATTCTCAAGCAAATTCGCTTTCAATTGCTTGGTTCAACTTCCTTTCGCATAAGCTATGCCAACCCTCTTCTCGCAAGCTTCTGCACACAGCTTCAAAGCCCTTCCTTGCCACAAAACCACTCCCAGCACTCGGTTCTTGCATTTAGGCCTCGAAAATGCTCGAAATCAATCGTTTGTACATGCAAAAAATTTCTCCTTGAGACAATCGTGTTTTTCCCAAGCGCAAGAATCTTCTCTCACACTCACCTACTTCCTCTATGTCATGAAATCCCCTTCAACCGCTTCCCGTTCACGTCGTTGTCAGCTTCACACGATAAGGTGAGTCGTGCCTTTCTCTCCCCTTTCTCCTCTCCTTTCCCTCTTTATCTTTCTTCTGTCGTTCCTTCTTCCTTTCTCTGAGTCTCGCTCGTTTTCTTCCTCTCTCGTTCGATTAGAAATGAAAAGAGAGGCTAAATACTCGTTTCATTTCCTGCAAGCAACACTTCTCTTAGCGAAGGTGGCATAGATAATTTTTTTTTTTACCAATTATTACAGCAAGTTAAAGATAGTGAAGGGTTCAATAAGGTTAAACTTGACATAATTGCAAAAATTTTGGCATTTTGCTCTTATAGATATTGTAATTGATATGCCTATATAAAAGAAACAAAATTTTGGATTTATATGTAAGTGAGGCTAAAGTGCGCGAGAGTGAGAGAGAGAGAAGAGGACATTAGTGTCAAGAGCATTTTTCTCTTATAGATATTGTGCAAGTTCAAGAGAGTGAAGAGTTCAAGGAGGTTATACTTGACATAATTGCATAAACTTTGGTATTTCTCTTATAGATACTACAATTGGTATGTCTATATAAGAGAAGTAAAATATTTTATACATACGGGTGAGGCTAGAGTGCACGTGAGTAAGAGAAGAAGAAGGGACATTAGTATCAAGATCACAACTAGTTATAGCATGTGAGCTTTTGAGGGAGGATTCGAAGAGCATGTAAAGCAAGAAAAGGATCAATAAGTGTTTTTGCTAAGATCGATGTTCAGAGCAAGCACAAGGAGAGGAGCAGGAGAAGGTTCGGGAGAGATAAACAAATAACGAAAGACAAAACGCATGCCTATGAGGGACATAAGGATAGAGGGAATAGTAGGCGCATAGAAAAGAGAGGCGTTGAGACACGACATTGGAGTAAATAAGGCAAGAAAAACAAGTAAAAGGGATAAATAATAAGGCATAAACAATGCGCTGATAAGGAAATATCATGTTGGTTGAGTCATTGACACAGACCATGCACATGTATGGGAGGCAAATTGCAAGAGCAAGGGAGTTGCACTGTGAATTGCAAGGAACAATACAAATAATATAAACACAAGTGTTAGAGAATGTGTTGCCAGGAGGCTGGAAATGAGATGAAAAATACATCATCATTGGAACTAGTTCCCCAAATGCAAATAGGAGAAATGATTTGCGACGAAAGCATGGTCTGTTTTTAGCAAGAGAGAGAGTGATCATGCACATGAGAGGGAGGGGTTGGAGATGTATAATACTATAATTATATATCATGGTTCGAAATTTGGGGAATCGTGTTCTTATATGGAGAAAAGAAAGTGTAGCTCCTGCTGCAGTAAGACATTCATCGAGCATGATTTGTAAGAATTATGTGCAATTCAAAATAGCAAAAGATAACAATAACAGTTGCTCAAGCTAAATTCAATAAAATCAAAGACACTATGTCCCTAATAGGTAGCCCAGGCCACCAGCCATATGTGTCCCATATGATCAATTTGTGAAAGATATTGGAGGTAGTTTCCTATTTCCGTTTTACTCCAGTTATTTTGTTTCTTAGCATATTATATGTCTTTCCTTTATTGTTTATTTTGTATTTGATAAATTGAAATTTCATTAATCATATTTTCCCTAGACAATGGTTGTAATTTAAATACGATGGAATAGGAGAATATAGTTTCTCCCCATTTCTTCATGGTATCAGAGAGTCGTTTGGGTCATCTGCATTGCTAGGCATCAACAGCTTCTTCAGCTTCCTCTGCTTCGTAGTCACCCTACGACGGCATTAGGGCATTGATTGTCTGTTGCTTTGTCTGCTTCAAATGACGTTACTCTCATCCTGTAGTCACGACTCCGTCTGTGTCCTTGAGATAAAAAGGAGAATTTAATGGAGAAAACTAGTTTAGTTCTAATGATTTTCCCAAAATTTTCATCCCTCCTCTCTTAATCATCCTTCCTCATTTGGAATTTAAAATTGCAACTGTGCAATCAAATATCAACCAATTTTACATTTTTAAATCAATCCTTTAAATAAAGATTATAAAAATATTGATGAAAACATGTTGGAACATTAATACTGGGATTAAAATATTTTGATTTTGTTGAGATATAATAAATTATTAAAGGAATTAAAAAGCAGCAAAAAAAAAGCAATTCAGAATTCGTTTATCATACATAATGAGTTCAAAAAATTTAACAAATCCATCATAGCCCTCATTTAGTTGACATAATTATTCAAATAATTATTCTGCAGTTAAATATTTTAACAAGTCAATCCAGTTTCAACACATACTTAAAAATAAGCTTAATCGCTAAACTGGCTTCAACCAGTAATCAGAAACGTTTGGCATATAAGAAGTGCCGATTCAATTATGGTAGAGCGTACCCAATCAATCTTCCAAGCATATCATCACACAAGCTCTTTCAAAGAAACCAGCTGAATCAACTTTGTCATATACAACCAACTAACTTGGAAAGCTCAAGTGGAAGTCTGGAACTCGAAGAATAAAAACAGAATACAGAACACCGGGCAAAACAAACACGCATGCAGGACTCTTCAATAAAAATATATCAGCAGCCATCATTTTCATAGAAAAGGAATATGAATAGAAGACCTTAAGAGAAACCCATAGTTTTGGTTTTAGAAGTTCTAAGACAGCACACCTCTTTCAATCGGTCATAGAAAGCACCAAAAAGATTTACGCCACTTGCTGTCTGACCCCCAAGCGCAGCAATCTCGTCCTTCCTGGCGTTATCCTTGTCCTCGTATATCTCAACCTTGAACGAAGTCACACGTAATGAGAACTCCCAAAAAAACGCATAAACGGAAAGATAGAGAGAGGAGGCGTACTAGTTTATGGGAAGTGCTGATGATGGTATCGATCATGTTGCGGACGCGATGGCTTTGCAATAGGTGATCGCGGTTGGAGGCGGGCTCGCGCTGGAGCTCCTTCACGATGAGACGCTCAAGGCGCTCCACATCCTCGTGAGCCGACCGCGTAACCTCAAGCAGAGTGGAAGACATCGCCGGAGCTACCACGCCAATGCGAAATGGCAAAGCGATGACAGGCAAGGAGCTCGTTAGGGTTTTGCTCTCTGAACCAACTAATACGACACGCCAAGAGAAATCGGCTTAGAAAAACTTATTGCGAATGAATAAAACTTATCTTGTAAATTGAAATTATAATTTTAGCAAAAACTTCTAGATTGTGTCCTATGAGAGCATTTGATTGGCTAGAGAGAAAAATTATGTTTTTAAAATATAAATAAATTTATGATTTGGAGTTGATAGTAAAAAAAATACAGTTTTTTTTTTTTATTTTTTACTTGAAGTTAAATGAATTCAAAGTAAATCAATGAAAAAATGGGGGACACTACTTGATGGAAATCAAATGCAATTGGTGGTAGTTGATGATGACGGGAGAGCGGGCGAGCGATGGCTAGTAGCAAAATTGATAGTTGGTGGTTGACAATTATAATAAACGGGGCAAGGAGAACAACCAGTAATTGAGGTGGCAACTAATGACATCTATGGTAACATCTATATTTGAGGTTGTCACCTAAAATTATGGATGTGTAAATGGGACTTCATTGTTGCAAGTGTTTTACTTAGAAGCTATCAAGAATCTTGGATTATGTTCTTTAGGTAAATTAATCATTTGATATGTTTGGATACAAATAAGTAGTGATTTTACCAAGCTAAGATAATGTTCCATCTATGAATTATAAACACTAAAGTCTCCTACCACTAAGAAAGTCAATGATGCATAATCATTACATAAGCTTTAAGGAGAACACCATTTTCCAAAATGACTTGCTTAGGAAAATGAAGTAATACTCAAACACATACTCTAGAACTCCTAAAAGTTGAATCATTGTATATAGTTCATTAGGAAGATTCTAAGGAGGAAATGGATTGCTAATAATATTATAATGAATGTCAGTTATTTTTTAACTATGGTGATTTTTAAGATGTTGGCATGAGTGTCCCCTAATAGTTATAGTGAAAGCTTACCCTCAGTCTAGAATTGGTTCTCATAAAATTAATTTCTAAACGAAATGTGTGAAAACTACCCCGCCATAATCATGCCCAAGACATTGAAGTTAACAATGTTTTGAGTTTGTAGTGAAGGTTACCCTCTCTCATTATAAAGTGCTTCAAAAATAATATTTTTTGTGGCTCTCTCTCTCTCTCACTTTAATTAACCTTATAAAGGTGAGAAGAGCATTTGACAATCCTTTTATTTGTAATGAATTACTCTGCATAACATTTCAGCCAATTCATCAAAGAAAAGAATGATTCTTCCTGAAAAAAAATAAAAGTAAATACTTGGTTGACATTAAAGTGTAGAAGGCAAAAGATAACAGATGAAGCACATCAGAAGCTTATCATAGTGATCAATATGTTCATATGGCCCATCAAAAGAGTAATCTATTAATTGGGTGTTGGAGGATGATCTCAACCAACATATATGACTTGTGAACTATGTTGAGTAGAGAAAAGACTTACGTCCCTTAAATAAAACTCTTCATACACTAGACATCATAACTCATCATGAATTTTATTTGGTTGAGTTCTCAACATGTTTTAGATATTTCCCTTTCAAATTGGCTATGTGAGATGGATGTGTGGAGCTAGTAGTGTCAGCAAGTCAGCTTCATAAGGAGGAACTGCAGTGTGAGGGGGTACTAATTGTGTACCTTTAGTCATCAGATCTTGAATTCACTGTGCCCCTTTAGTATTTACTATTATTCAATATTGAGTTTCTAATAAAAGTTCAAGAGTCCTTTTTTTATACGTACTTATTTTTTTATTCACGACCTTAAAGTGAATCAAAGGAGTTTTTTGCTACCAAGGTGATGTTTATCATTAAAAAATGAAGCAATGACTTAGCATCTTGTACTGTCGAATTATTCCAAAGAATGTAAAAAATTAGAGCTAATATCATGTATTCTATTTATTATCTGTCTCGAAGAGGTCTAGGCATTTGTAGATGGGACTTCTTTTCCCATGAATGTTGAAAAAATGTTGTAGGTCACAAAATTTGAAGTGGCATAGTGAGAATTTATTTTTGTAGCATTAAAGGAAGATTCATGATACAGACTCAAATAAATGAAAAGTATCAAAAGTATAGCCTAATTTTACATGAAAAATCCATTTAAATGCTAAAAACCACTAGACCCTAGCCTATTCAAAGAAATCGACTACATATTGTATGTACATTTGCTAACTCTTCTCTTGAATTAGAGAAGATGGAAGTATGAAGATAATCACCTTGGTACAAGAGTAATTTAACTATAATGGCCATAATTGAGGTAAGAAAATGTGGTTCTTAGCTACAATCATAGTAGTTAGCAAAAAAATTCATTTTTTTTTGCTAAAAAGCCATAGTTTGTTATGTGTAAAGATTATTAAATGTTATTTCCAATGTTTAGCCAATTATTTTTATCATTTTATACAATTTTTAGGGCAGTTTCAATTTCCTTTCAGTTAACAGGATTACATTTTAGTAAAAAGGGAGTATTATAAGCAAGAATAACCTATGTATTGGTCTGACAACCGGAGGCCAAAGCAAAAACCTGACACTTGTTATGCTTTATTTGACCATGTGAAATAGAGAGCTAGAAAATTTGGCACTCAAAACTGTTCATCAGGTGCTCAGAACCTTTTCTTGGAAATGTGGTTTTAGTCATACTCAAGAATGATGTTTAGCAATTTTTTTGTTATTACTTTTTGGATTTGTTTCTCGTAGTGGGTTGTTATCCACACGAGCCGGTGAAGCTGCTAAAAGGTCCCTACCAAACTAGAATTTTAAGTTATTTTTTATGTTGATAATTATTTTAGTAAAAGTGGAAGGGCGAGCTAACTTGGAGGCCAATGATAGAGGCAAGTGTGTAGAACTTATAATTTTAATCAGCTCAAGCTCTTGACTAGATTAAGGAGGAACTTTAGTATGGACGGGAAATTGAGAGATTTCTATCTATCTAGACATCTATGGTATGTGGTTGATCTTAGACTAAGTAAGATCTACCAATTGAAAAACATGTCTATTATCAAGCCTTGCATAAGAGATGAAGAATCCCATTTTTTAAATTATTTATTGTGAGGACATGTTCTTCCACTGGTAAAGCAGAGGCTTTTTTACAATTATAGCAATATACATACAATGAAATAAAAAATAAATGCTTAATGTTGTTGCTTTGAGATCATCACATGGAATGGTAGGTCTGAGAGTGGATTACTTTATTGTTGTAAGCATTCTACTTAGAAGCTATCAAGAAGGTCAGATTATTTTCCCTACGTATGTGAATCATTTGGTATGTCTAAATACAAACAAGGAGCAATCTAACCAAGCTATGAAGTTCTTCTTTTTTATGAATATGAACACTAAAATCACATTCCTGCAAAATATTTAACAATTTTTATTCATTGTAGGCAATTTTAAGTGAAGCTCCTATTACAAATTGTCTAGCTTAGAAGAAATAAGCTATACTCTAGCTTTGACTCTAGAACTCCTAATGGTTCTATCGATGTACAAAGCTCATCAAAAAAATTTTAAGGGGGAAATGAATTGCTAATAATATTATCATCATTTTTTAGAACTAGTTAATTGTGTTCATGTTTAAGATGCTGACATGAGGTCCCTTTTGAGTTGTCGTGAGAACTTACCCTCAACATATTCTCATAGAATTTATATATAAATAAAATGTATGTAGACTACCCAACCATAATCATGTCTAGGGAATTTAGGTGAAAAATCTTTTTAGGTTATAGTGGAGGTTGCCTCACCATGGAAAAGGGCTTTAGAAATAATGTTCTGGCAACTCTCCCTCATTTTGTTGAATCCTAGAAAGGTGAGATGAGTTTTTGAAAATTCCTTGATTTGTAATGAACTGCTCCATAGACAATTTAGTAAGCTCATCAAAGGTAAGAATGGTTTGTTATGAAAATGAATAAAACTAAGTACACACATAGCTTTTTAGAGTTTCTTGGAATCCTTGAGAAAGAAGTACTTCAAAAGTTCATCATATTAATCAATTTGTTCATAAGGGACAAATGTCCATCATAAGAATCAATACTCAAAACTTTGAACCCTATGGGATCATGGTATTAAGAGTCTGTCTTGGCCAAGATATATGACACTTGAGAACTAATTTGATTACAAAATTACTTATATGCATTCTATGGAAATAATTCTTGCACTCAACATCGTAACTCATCAGGTACTGCCTAAGGTCAAGCAAAGTTCTCTACATGTTTTGGAGGTTTACCGCTACTCTTGGCTATGTATGAGGGATGTATAAATCTGGTAGTGCCTAAGATGTCAGTTTCTTTAGAAGGAACTTTAGTGTGTGTGGGGTGGGGGATACAAATTATGTACCTCTAATTTGCGAATTATGAGGTGATTTTACCCCTCCAATGTGTACTATTGTTGATTTTCGGGTCTCCCAAAAACATTAGTGAATCTTGTTTTTAGACTCCTTCAATATTTACCCCTCTATTATATACTATCCTAAATGTTAGTGTTAGGCCATGGAATGTCGAGTATTATAGCAAGAAGAATATGTACTGTTTTTGCTAGCCCTTGAGGAAGCGTAAACTCTTATATAAGGGAATTATTTCCCACATATGACACCAAAATATTTTGTGTTGGAAGTATTATGGTGGTAGAGTGATAAATTAACATTTTATCATTAAACGAAGACTTGACACACACACTCACACGCACAACCACACATACTCACATATACACACAACAATAAATAAAAAGTAGCAGAAGAGACACCAATATTTTTATGTGTAAAACCCTAGAAAGCTAAATAACCACAGAGTCTAGTCCAATTAAAAAAATTCACTACGTAATCATAAGTACGTAGATGAGTTCTTCTTCTACATTGAAGAAGATCTAATTAAAAAGATGGTCATCATAGATTTACAAAAATAATTTATCTGTAATAGCCATAATATGGCTACAACTATTATGGTTCTTTATTTTAATAAGAATATTTAGATATAAAATCCATAGTTTTTTGCTACAAAAGTAGTAGTTGGTGATGTGTTATTCCCTATATTTACTTCATTATATGTATCATTTTTAGGCTTTTTGGGTATTTGTGTCTATTAT